CTGTGCACTGAGGGCATGTTCCCCTGCTAGGAGCAGCATACTTAAACCTCCCATTTGTGTCGGATCTGTTAAAAGAGTAGAACCAAGTCTTAAGTTTATTCATTTGCTTGTTTAAAGAACTTACCATTTGCAGCGTTAAACACCCAGAAGACTACTTGTCACAGACACTCTAAGCAAGCTGCCATAAAAGGCAATTCAAGAGAATCACAAATAACCATTTCTGTACCCTCTGGGAGAGGCTTTCAAAGCTGTTTGAAGGATTTAATTGGATTTGTGTGCTTAACACCCCATTGCGTGGATTTACAATTTTACTGCCAAAGGTTTTATGCACTACAGAGATGAGTATCTTTAAAAGAGCAACTGTAATGATCTCCTACATAAATACACACAAAGATGCTCTAATATCACACGTTCATAATGCAATGGGTGCTCCTGCCGAGGGACTGGTTCCTTTCCTTAACCACTGAACAAGCAGAACGATGGAAGAAGTAAAAGGATGGAACAAAATGACACGATCCAACTCTGAAGCAAAATTCCTATTTTCATTCAGCTTTAATTTAGAGTTGCATTTAGGGGAGAAAAGTGCCAGCCTGACAGCTCTGAAGCATGAAGCGCTTGATCCTCTGTGCCAGAACAGCGCAGGCACTGGCCAAAAAAAAATACTTGTTGCCCTGCCAATACAATATATAATCGAGGAAAATAAAATGGAGAGATAAACGTGCTTTTTCCAAGTATTTGATGCTGACAGCTTCTTGCCTCCAGCCTTCCCGCACCTCAGGAGCTTGGAAAACGACAACAAGAAGTGAAGGCAACGAACACTGGCACCGCATTACGCACAGAGTGGCTTTTCCACCCAGAACAGTGGTTGCTGTTCATCATTATGAAGACTAATTGTCTGATTCTGGGGGTGTGTCTTGGAAGCAAAGCAGGGGCCCAATTAACAGCGTGTCACATGGAGACAGGAAGGCAGCCTGTGGCCTAAGTGTCTTGTAGAACAGCCACAACGTGAGAGAGAGGGAAGCATTTTCCTTACTCTATTGCAAAGACACCAGCCTCAGTAATGATGCGACATCAAAGATAAGTAACTTTCCCCAGGTCTGACTAAGTGTGCACCCACGTTTTCCAATTTCCCTTCAGCAAACTGCACAAAAACTCTCTCTACAACAGGAAGTTACATGTCCCCAGGATCATTCCCTGGAACGGAGACCAACTGTCACAATTACTCTTGTTCATTTGATTGCATTTTGTTATGCAAAATTTGGATGCAGAACAGTTGCATCCAACATGCCCACCAGGAAATCTCCTGGCCCATTTCCACTCACGAGCTGTGCCGAGGAATTTGTTGAGCTTTTGAGCTGACGTGGGCCAAATCTGTACCTGTAAAGTTCCAAATGATTTAGTGCTACGGATCGTCAAGGTCCAGTTCATGGGAATACTCACTAGTGCTGTTTAATTCAATACCAGAGACGCTGTCAAAAGTTCTCCCTCAGAGAGCATCTCGCACTGACATTCACAGGGTAAGTTTTTTCAATAATCTCTTAAATCAGGAGTAAATAGCAGCAGAGGAAAGCAGTGTGAATAAACGAGGCTCATCCACTGTCTCAAGGATAGAAGAGCGGCTCATTATCTTAAGACGACAGCCTAATAGCATCTGGCTTCAAACCCAGTGTTCAACTGGAATTAATTTTTTCTTTTACTGTAATAAACAAGTAGAAGGTGTGTGGGTTTTTTGTAGTTTTGTTCTGGCTTTTTAGGGGAAAAATCCAACCAACCAAACAAAAAAAACCAAACAACAACAAACCAAGTTTTTATTTTTAAATAAAAGAGGGAACAAAAGATACTAAGTTTCTACAAAGAGATGAGGCACTATCAGAAGTGTAGGATCTAAGTAAGAAGTGGTTGAAGAAATGGACAGAAAAGGGGAAGGGCCAGCAAGTACCTAAGCACAACTCGTACAGGAAGTGATCCTGTCAGCACAGCACTTTTTGTCATCAAAACACTTGATCAAAAGCAGTTCAGTCCTTCAAACAGGAGGGCATCAGAGCAATTAAGAAGTGACAAGTGAACCCGTATTTTGAAAGACACTGCCTGAACAGGCAGTTAATTTGGAGGAAAGAGATGGGAGGAGATCTCCAGGCCCATCATAAACTTACTGAGCACTCTACTAATCAGTAAGGGGGTGGCTGCTTTCTTTATTCCCATTGGAAGGCTGCTGTAGAATCCAAATCTTCTAAGCATTAAGAGCTTTCTCCCAGTTTTAAGCTTAAATTTACTCAGGGCCAGGTGGCACACATTGTTTCTGGTGCCTGCATCTTTAAGATTAAGTAACTGTTCTCCCTAAATTTTATTTCCCTCTTCCACATTTTACAGGAGTCAACCAACTCTTCTTCCACTTGCTTTCCTAGCCTAAGCAAATCAATATCTTCTTGTGACATCAAGCATGTCCATCTCCCACGGTCCCAGCCATCCCTGTAGCTCCCCTCTGCAGTTATTCCAGGTGGAGTTCATCTTTCTTGTATGTAAAGGACCAGCAGGGCAACCGTGCCGGATGAGCTGTGCCCTGTTCAACGGCATTACTCCTACAGTTCCTGAAAACACACTGCCTGACACACTGCATATAGTCCTTTTCTTAGCCCACATCACACTGACAGCTCTCAGCTGCTCTCTTGGGCTTCACTTTAGTTACCTGTGAGTCTTCACTCCCCTCCTCAGTTTTAGCCAAGTGAGGAACACCCAGCTGATGGCTCTAAAATTCTTCCCCCTCTTCCAAATACCTTCTTGCTGGTCTCAGCTTTCTGCCCTTCAAATAAGTAGCTTATCATAACAGGGCAAGGATAGGACTGTTTGTTTTTTTTCCAAGTAAGCAAATACTTAAACTGTTTATTTAAATATAAAAATTAAGAAGAAGGGAAAAAAAATGACAGCTAAGTGGAAGTTTAATTTGGTGCTTCAGCAACTTGCATACTTATGCTGCAGCTGTAGCAGAGGGCTGGCACTTGGATGTCTGATCTTGATAAAAACAAAAATCCTTCCACTAAGCCTTCAAATTACAAAATAACTTAATCTAAAGAAAGACAAAAACGTACATATGCAAACACTGCCGTATGTTTATAGTGCCCTCTCAGCACAACAGTGTTTCTCTTATGGCACTAAGAACTTGCTGGCATGAAAAATTAAGAAGTTTAAGTGCTATTTTGAAGCAATTTACAGTTAAATCAACAGTAGTGAGAAAATAGCACACATTCGACTTGCAGAATGGGAGGCAATTCATGACTTTCTCAGCAGCTTTCAATACTGATGAAACGTAAAACTATCTCAGTATTTGGGAACGACACACTTTGTTGGTATTGGTCTGGTTAGAAAATCGTTCATCGTCGCAGCTTTTTCGTCAGAGGAAAAAGAACTGAGGAGGAACTATGTAGAAAGAACACCAGCAGGAACCAGTTTCAACTTCTACCTGGGTGCAGAATTAAGCTTCTTTCTAAAAGACAAAACTTGCACCTCTATCAGGATCCTGCCTACTCTAGAAAGTACCTTTTTCCCACCCGTTGCTTTACTGAAGAGCTTTTTAGCTCAGACGGTTTTCTTCTGATGCAGAAATGTGAAAGTACTGGAATCTTGCGCATCTGCACAGCAAAGCTGTTGCTCCCTTTAGTTCTGTAGTGGTGAAGGTCGATCCTGCAGTGGTCACGCTCACCCGCCAACAGCAGTTACCCTTGCCCTACAGCGGATCACAGGCAAGCTGTGTCGTGAGAACGTGCTCAACCACCGCTTCCAGGCTGGGTGAGCAAGGACACCGCGGGTGGGTCTGTGGGTCAGATGCCCAGCTCTGCCGCCACACCTCGGGTTGCTGGCACAAGGACAGGTCAACGCGTGAGGGTTAAAGGCAGGGTGGTTATTGTTGGAGTGCCAAGAACAAGAGAGGGATGGCCTGTGTGGGACTTAGAAAGGAACGGAACATCATACTCTCTCTATATTACGTTTTCCAAAATGAAATGTAATATACAAAAAGCAATCAAGACAGGATTAGTGACTACCAGCAAGTAAAATAGGTGTCCTGGAATGATTCTGGAATCATATAACCCCTGTCCTAAGGAAGCTATCTTGAAGATGCAAGACAGTGGTGTTGAAAGGTAAAAGCGTTTCTGAGGTGGTTCAGCTACATTTTGGTTCATCAGCTAGCATGCAGCCTGGATTTTAAAAGAGGTTGTGCTGGGTAGAATTCAGGGTTGAACTGAACTTTCACATGAAGTCAAGGAGAAAAGAACACACCAAAACATATTTATCACGAACTGGTATACAGCTGACAAAACAGCAGTGCATTTGGCAAGGCAGACTTGTCACAATGTGGATGCTGCTAACAGCTCTGTCAGAAGCTGCGGTTACTCTACGAGCTGTTGTCATACCCAAGGGACAGCCAGCCTTCGGTGGCCTGAGGACTGCAGTGACAGCCCTGCGGATTACTACGCTCATTGACTCAGTCTGCAGTAAAACAATAAAAATTAAATCACATGCAGCACAGAAGGGCCTTCTTCTGTAATGAATGGCTCTACAGGTGAAACAATGGATTAGATTAGTTTCTAATTAATTCTTCAGTTCTCTGTCCTCCGCTCTGACAGGTGTTGATTCAAGATCTCTCTGTACTCAGCAGCTTCACATTTGGATAGCCCAGCAGGAGTCGTGGGGGATGGCAGACAGGTAGCCCAAAGCCTATTACTTGTTCTCTGTATTAAGTCAGTAAACCTTTAAGAAGCATAGAAATTACTACTCGGATAGCAAAAGCAGAGCAGGATGGAATGGTCTTGCAATTTTTAGAACTGATCTCCCATATATCATTAACTATGTAGCATGAAAAACTTGATTTTGATCACATTTCACAGTTCCTTCATAGCCAGAAGGAATTTCATTACAGGAATTTTCATACCACTCTACTGGCAAAAAGGTACACATGCCTTTTTATCCTTTTACACTTGTTCCATAAAACCATTTTCCACTCTCCAGCTCATGATTTCTCAAAGCAGAAAAGTCTTATCTGCCACACACTTGTCATGAACTAGGTAGGACACAACGAAGTTTCAAATACATCGATATTTATAAAACTAGAAACTTTAAACTGAAAGAAAAAGGAAAAAAAATCCAGAAAAAAGGGTGGTGGGGGAAAAAAAATTATTTTCTAGCTTGGCTGTTAGGTTCTTAAGCTGGCAGTACTTAACATTAATGTTTTTTTCTTTCAAGGTCATGATTGCAACAGTTCTGCTATTTGTGGATATCAGTGAGAGATTATCTGCCTTTCACCAGTTCAGGTGCCCTGCCTACACTTATTTAGAGATTTTTTTTTTTTTTTTTAAATGTTTAAAGGGTTAGAATCTGCCTCTCCAAGGTATAATGGGCAAAAGAGCATATTTTAAGTAAAATTAAATTACTCTTCTCTTGATTTAAATAAAGAGGTTCGCTCCAGCAATACATCCATCCGTAAGAATGTTAACACCTCCAACTTGATAGGCACCCATCCACTATTCTTGTAAACAGCCAATTACCAAACACAGTACAGTGCTCTCTGAAAAAGAATGCACACGATCAGCATTTTTCTTTCTGACTACAGAATGAAAATCTCTAATGGCAGACAAGATGGAATTAAAAACCAATCAAATCTGGACCCCGAATGGGGTACGGGTTCCGATGCCACATACCTGGGCTCGACTCTTAAAAGCACTCACGCACTACGGAAAGGTTTAGAAGGTTGTTATGCAGAGGTTTAACTACAGTCTTGGCAACCTAATTCGGGACATGAAAGTTATTTGCACTACAGTACCGGGTGCAGTAAAGAAAACTCGTGTCATGGTTAGATTTCAATGCCTCATCCTCAGACAAAACGAGGATGCTACATCTGAGTAACATGGATGGAAATCTCACCTGCCATCCCGAAATTCAGCTGTGGCATTTCTTCACTTTGTGTCATTTTCTTTGGGCTCGGTAAATCTTTTGCTGTGTCTGATGCAAAGCCCCATAGCTTTTTTCGGTTTGTAACAGAGGATGACTGAGTTTTCACAGGTTTATTTGTTGTGGGGCACCACTTATAGCCCGGGTTTGCCTTCATAAATGCATCCTTGTACTAGAAAAGAAAAGGAAAATCACCAGTCATGCCAGTCATGACATTATACTATCCGCAGGGCAATAGAGTGCACTGCATGTAAGAGGATTGAATACAGTAAATAATCCTTGAATATCTTGATTTTTTAACAGTTTAATCACAAGTGTAGAGTCTGACCGCCAACACAATCTATTAGGAAGAAATATTAAGGTTAAGTAGAGCCGTATTTAAAAAGCCAGGTTTCTCTTTCCTCTCCTGAGGGTTTATCAGCCAGGGCAGGCCGAAGTTCTGATCCTGCAAACTGCTCCCCAGCACTTGCATGCTCACCCTCTGGGAAACAAAGACAGCTGTTTGAATTCTTTCGCAGGTACAATCTTCAGTTTCTCATGTGAATGGAATGAAAAGACACATTTAGCAAGAAATGCACCATGATGCTCCTTACCTTGCACTCATTTTTTCTCGACAAGTTCTGGATTTTAGAATATTTGAGTATATGCTTTCCCAAACCCAGCACCCAAAATAAACCCCTACTGGTATCGCCTCATTTTCAGTAACTTTTCATACACCATCCCAGCGTTCTTTCCAAAATGTACCATGCTGCACAGCTGCGTAACGTAAACTGGAACCATTTAAAACTGTCTTTGGCCTTGAGCACACATCTCAGCTGTTGGCTATATTCTTGGTGCGAAGAACATAGTCTACCAAGGCAGACTACACGTGGGGGGTGGGCGGAACCGGTTTGGGTCCTCCACAGTTTGGGGGGCAGGGGGAAGGATGGGGACCTATTTTATTCACAACACCCAACAGTGCTGTCTTCCAAGTATCTTGCTGACCAGACCAAACCAAGATTTCTGAATGTTAGCAACAACAAAAAGACCACATTTCAGCATTTTAAATGTGTGGCTATGCAAGGTGGAGAGTGGGGGAGTCAGAGGAACACGCCACGCTTCCCAGTTTGCCTACGAAATGGCAGGGGCATCCAGCACTGGCTGCTACTGGAGCCTGCCCAGTAAGTACCAGTGCCGACCGCAGGGAGAAGGAGGTCAGTACCTCCTTGGTGCACTAGGCACCTCTCCATGGCGGCAGACGACCGAAAGAGATGTTTCATCCTGAAGTACATGGCAGAGCAGCTGCAGGAAGTTTCTGCTGCAATTACACACGTTCCCACCCACCCAGCTGTCGTCAGTCCCACTGACAGCGCGGGGAAGCACCTCTGTTTCATGCACATGCCTGCACAGAAACACATGCAGAGGGGAAAAAGATCCCTCGGGTATAAAATACAGAAATAGCACCAAAAACCTTGTCCTCCGATAGAATCACTGCAGCGTCTTCCTAGACCAACAGGGGCATGCCTTGTGGCAGGATCGCGCTCGCACGTGTATCGCGCGCTTTCATTTCCATCCTAATCTATCAGCTGGCACTTGCTCCCTCCAGATGGTAGCAAGGACAAAACCAATTCAGTTTACAAGAAACACAGCACTGTGTGAACCCGCTGCGTGAAGCCCTGTATTTATAGAAATGGCTATAAATAATAAAGATCTGCAGGGACCGCTGACCCACATACACCCTCCTCAGAAAACACAGTGTGTATGTATTAAATCTGCAAACTAGGGACTGCGACACCTCTCACCTCGCCCCTTCCCTCAGTTTGGTTTGGGAGCTCTGTACACCACAAAAATAGCCTGGGGGAGGGGAGGGGGTAAGGGAAGAGGCGGAAGGGAAATACAGGGAGAAGCAGCTTTGCCTTCCATTGTTAAAGACACAGCTCATTCTCAAATCATGTTTCCAGAGTGAACAGCACAGAACTGCCAGCAATGAGGAACATAAGCTCTTCATATCAACACTGCTACCCTGAGTAATTGAATTATTCTACGGAGTAATCTGACAAGCCGACAGGCTGCCCATCAAAGGAGAAACACTGCATGCCATTTGCGGGACGAGGCAGTAATAAGCTTTTAATCAGTTTCCAACAAGAGCAATTCAAGTGAGGTGCTGTATTAATGGATTTTTTTTCCACTGCAAAGCCAAGAAATGAAGATTAACTGCACTCTCTGAAGGGGAGGGAGCAAACTGGGGGAGGAGAACTCATTGGCCCCTTTCACAGTTTCAACACTCAAGGTAAATAAAAATGTGAAAAGTTAAACAATGGCCAAGAAGTAGTTTTATAAAATGCATACAGGGGCCTGATCCAAATCTCAGAAGACTTCCAGGTACTTTTGTGACTGTTAGACCGAGGCCTAAAATGAAATGATAGGTTCTGCTTGCTGGATCATGAGAAGGTAACTTAAATGAACTACATAGGAATGAGAAAATGCCAAAGGCAAGAGCGGAGCTGACTGTTTTCCTGCATTGGACCAACAGTGCAGCAAACCAGCTTAACACAGCCAGTCTAAGGACATCTCTGAAGTGCCTGGGAAAACCCAAAGGTAAGTCCTTAACCTGGAACGCAAAGACACCACCATGGTTCCCACACGTGAGCGGCAGGGACAGCCTGGCAGGGTCATGTCCCCAAGTTTCAGGCAAAGCAAAAAAAGCACAGGGGATGTTTGTGGGATGGGTCTGATGTCTCATTTCTGCTTTGTGAAAGCATGGGGAAGCACGCGTTATGTGGTGGGACTGGTGCCACTTCAGAGCTGAGGTTGAAAAAGGTGCTGTGCCTCAGTGCAACTCCTTCAGTTGCTTGCAGCAGCAAAACAAGATCTGCTTTCTCCAGGAGTTCCCAAGTGGATTCCAACTACAGCTCAGCGTAGCACTTGGCACATGCTTAACTTTAAACATGTGCTTAAATCCCACCAACTGGCTGTTAAATGTCACATGGATCCCAGAGAGCTAGCAAAACAAAAAATCCCCAGCAGATGCTACACTCTGGTTTTCACTCCTGTGGGACGCAGAGTTCACCTTACACATTATGGTCCATACCTCACCCGGTGAACTTGCCAGGCTCCAGCTGGGAAGTTCACTCGGGAATATTTATCAGCTACTGGGCTTAAATCCTCTAGAATGAAACTTTCAAAGTGAAGTTGATCTACAAAGTCTGTAGGGTAAAAAGATACAAATTGAAAGCCTGCTCCTAAAGCAAAGACCAGCAGAAGCTGACAGTGAGCTCTCGCAGGCACAGTATGAGGTCTCTGGGGCACGTCTTGCTACAAGAGACCATTTGTCCCCTCCTATGCCGAGGTGGCCGCCAAAGCAGAGGCAGAGCAAGGGCAGCAAGCTCCAGCCGGGCTGGCCATACCTGTGAAACCACTGCCCGGGCACTCGTGGGGAGGAGTATTCAGCTCCCACGCTGAAAGGCAGCAGCCTGGATCCATCAGGCTGCTCCCTACAAGAAACAATCCCGACTGCTTGGTCCTTGCCCATGCAAAGATTATGTAAAAATGAAGTGTTTTCTAGCAAGAGAAACAGGGCTGGAACAATAATCACCTCACTGGATATTTTCCAGCGCAGCGGGCTATTCCCAGTCAGCCCTGTCAGAGGTAACAGAAGAACACTACCCCTATTACTGTAGAAACTAAAAATGCTGGAGCATATTTATGAGTGACCAGAATTCATTTTCCCCTCTGTGAAGGGAAATGTTAAC